AAATGTTCATGAAATGTAATTTAATGGAATGTGTGCCATTCTTTTTTTTTTCACAGTTGTTGCTCCGGTGGTAACATCCCTGACATACAGGGACGGAATCATCACTTGTGAAGCTGATAACAATCCAATCAGTACCATTGATTATTACATCATCTTAAATGGCACCAAGCCTAGCGCGCCTACAGGTAAAACCCTGGCATTTAATGTCGATGACAATTACTGCACAGGGGTCAGCTGCTATGTCACAAATGCGATTGGAACTGGGTCACGGAAACTTGAAGAACCGCTGTGCCCAGGTGAGTTTTCGTCGATTGTAATTAAAGAAATCAAGTCATATAATTAGCTTTTTACATGTCGGGTTTTCTACCAGCAAAAAAACCAAAATTGACCTAAAAAAACCCCCAATTTTACAGAGCCCAGATCGAATTAAGTTTGAATTTAGATATTGATTTGAACTATTTCTTTGGTTGTTCTTTTAAGAAAGATCCAATAAAGTTTTGGTGATTATTCAGAAGTTCACAATGACCAGAAAACGTGATACAAACTCTCCAAAGAATACAGTCAGTAGACTTCAGTCTAAGAACTTCAGCAAACTATTTTATTTCTATAACAATCAAGATGACTGCTTGTTTTTTGTTTTTCTTTCAAAATAGTTGGCGCAGCCTGATCCATTCATATCTTCAACCCATCTTTTGTTCAAACAAAAGAATGAATTACACTTAATTAAAGCATATTTTTAATGTCAAATCTCCACTCATCACATGTGGGCACTATGCACTTTTCATATTATGGTTTATGCAGGGGCAAATTGTGCTCTGCCTGGTCCTCAGGACCCCCTAACTACCTTGTTCCCAATCCCGATAGGGTTTAAAAAAAAAAAAAAAAAAAAAAAAAAAAAAAACCTCGTATTTTCTTCAGTACATAGAATATATTTTACTCGGATGTTTAATATAAACATATTATTATTCAAAAAAAATACTCTTGTTGTAGAATGGTCGTCTGACCGTACTTCTTACGAAACAAAACACTTTATAGACGTCAGGGAATTGTCAGGTCAGGAAACAAGACTAGCTGGTTTTGAACCCGTTCATTGATGTGTAACTGCTTCCCAACAAAATGTGGATTGACTGAATTTAGTGAATTTGGGGCACAAAAAAACCACAAAAACTCCAAGAAACAGACCGTCGTTGGAATTTGATAAAATCAAAATCCGCTTTTCTTGAAAATGACAGCAATCCTAGGTGCCATGATTTCATTGTGTGCTTGAGACTACTTTTCACTTACAGGCAAGACAGGTATTTCATAATAAGTTGGTAGATTTTTTTTATGTTTGCATATGGTGTACATTACCTTCAACCGAAATGTGCATTTACCAATTAACAACGTTAGAGGGCTGCCGTTTCAATCTCAGTAGTATCCTTCTAAAATATTTCCGAAAAATATTAAGACATCATGCCCCCTTTTTAGGCTGTTGCACATCCCCTGTTATCGTCCAGCGTCGTGGTATATCCTTGAGAACTGGGATAATAAATTACATTTTTTATGTTTGCAACTCTAATTTTCTGCAGTTTTTGTGAAAATCACGATTCAAATTCGGCGCTTTTTACCGTTCAGAGCAGCTTCGCGTGTATGACGTATCCGTCCCATGAACCTTTGTACAATGACGTATATGCTATTTGAGCGAATCAGCGTGGAGTATTCGCGAGACGCCTTCTTCAGACATGTAAGTTGGCGTCGCCCATGATTTCATAGACCGGGTGATATCGCTGCGGACAAGATCATATTTGTGTGTGATTTTACGGCCCTCAATCGGAAGAATGGAGTGCATGTTGCATCTGCGGGATCAGCTGATACCCAGGTAATTCAGTTCTCAGAGAAAAGTTGGAGCAAAGCCAAAAGTTGTGCTTTGGAGTGGAAAAATTTGGAAGGATCGGGGTCCACGCTGAAAAAGTGGCAAAGAACAGTGATGAAGCGTTGTGGCATTCAGAACAACCACCAATTTCCATGGATATCAAAGGAATTGTTATGCTCGATTTACGATCAAAGCAATGATTGAGAGGGCAAAGAAACGACATGAAAAAAAGCAAAATGTTGAATAGGCTCTCGGCAGACCCGAGACCAATGTGTGCCTCGACCTTCCACCCCCAGCAGCGCCCTAACACAGACGGACTTAGTTGCAGCGAGAAGCTGGGTTTGGAAGTTCATCTGCTGGAGCTGGAACAAGTCATGGCAGTAGAACAACACTTCCTGAGTCTTGCATTATTTGCAAAAGCAAGACCCACTACGTAACTCGTGGGGGGAAACGAGTGGGTGATAATCTCTGCCTTGCAGAAACTATTGATGGTGGTGAGTAAACAAGGTAACGTGCAGTTGGTTGATTTTATGGAAAAACTGTTGCAACCTGACGCCATTATTTTTCTTCATATATCACCTTAATGAAGGTCATCTATTGCAGAAATGATGATACAACATGACTCTGGGACTAAGAAACATTTCTAATTTTGTTAGGAAATACTTGCACAATTTTCCTGACTCTCTATACGCAATCGTGGAAGTGGCGTCAGGTTGCAACATTTTTTTCAATTTTATTTGTAATCGTGCGCTGTTCTTTCAAACCATATGCAGTAAATAAATCGGTAACGCATTGGTTTTCTAACCTACGTTACCCACTGTAAAAGAAAAGAGAAAAGGGAAGAAAGTCACATAAACCGAGTCAATCTGTTACTCTAATTCAAAGTTAAATGTAGAGAGAGACTGTTCTGTTAATTTTTTTAGTAATTAAATATAAAAAAACCAAGAATGTACGCGCTTGGAATTCAGACCTCAGATAGTTTCTGAGTTATAAGTCGACTATACTACATATATCAATTGTCTAAATACATGTACTGTAGACATGCTAGAACTGATTTGCTATGTGTGTATAATAGGTATGCTTCGTGCTGCTGCTGAAATGAAAGCCGATGAAGCTATTCTTCTCCAATAGAAGTCAGATATCACAAGGACTGCTACCAAATGTATACGCAGGAGGTGTACAACCAAGCAAGGAAATCAACATAGTAAGTGATGAATATTCTGGGTTTTTTTATGTGCAAATGAGTATTTAGTTTTGACACATGTATTTACTGCTTGGGGTATGTTTTCTCATTCACCTTGCAAGATGATGGAATTGAATGTGACCATTCCTACCCATAGCTGAGAGAAAAAAAACATGCTGCAAGTTATGTTATCATATGCAAGTTATCTACATTGAGTGTATATGAACTGATAACAGCTCTATTTATCTCGTCGTGTAATAGCCATTTGTTTATTGCTGTTTTTGCGCAATCTTTACATATTTGCATTTGTTCAGTGTGTACCCCCTTCATCTCCTTTACGGCCCCATCCATACCTGAAACAAGCCAAATGGGCAAAACCTAATACTTTTATATTTGTTGTATTGCAAAATTAAATAATATACTCTATCTTGAGTGAAGTACATTGAGCTCATACCCTTTGTTCGTGGCTTATTCTAGGCCTTGATTGCACCAAAAATAATTGGTCCCTTTTTCAGTAATACAGAAGAACCTGCACCGACATATGACAATGCTTTTGATGTGATCTGTGGAACTGTTGTTGGCCCAGAGATCATCGATGGGAATCGCGTCCGAAGAATGACTGACCTGCTAAAGCGCCTCATAGATATAGCAAGAACATTAGAAAACAAGGATGTGTCCAGCTATAGGTGAGATTATGAACCGTGGACAAGTGAACTGTGGAGTTTGTAAAGAGGGGTTTGAAAACATCAGCTGAAAAACTATACAAATTGCATAGTCTGCTTTATTTTTCACCATTCTTTCGATTTCTTTAGGATACACACAAAATGTAGTTTGATGTTTTCATATGATATACAACAGTGAAAAACTCTAATCTCAAGTACAGAATTTGTCCTTGTCATTGATACAGTATTTTTTTTCATATCTCACAGGAATAAAAATTAAGCGTTCCTTAATCAGCTTCAGACCCTCCACTTACATTGTATCACTACATGGGTCACGCCAGAGTCACAGTTTATGATGCGTTGAACTGGAGAATAGAGATGCCAACAATAACCATTTGCTCCCCCTCCAAACATAGGGGTGGAGCGTTGACAGAAAAACATGCACTTGGTGGGTGCATTATTTAAATTACCCTATTTTCTTTGTTTCTCTCTTTTATGACTCAAACCACTTCTGTGTACAGTACCGGTACTAGCATTTATTAGTTTGTTTTCATTTTCAGAATGCTCTACCTTAAACGAAGACTGAAGGAGAAGTACCCACAGCTATCCTTCCATCGTCCTTCAAAGCGCCCAGCCAGCGAGTTTGTCTTCATTGACAAATCTGATGCTGCACCACACATTGAACAGTTGTGGTCATCAAGTTCTGAATCAGATACTTCATCATTCAGTGAGACGATTTCACCAGTCAAGCAGACACAGAACTGCAACAATCACTAATTCTTTGTAAAATTACAGGTTTTATGTTAGATAAATGTTCATTTGTTTTCACTATAGGTGGGTATTCTGCACCTTTAAATAGTGGAACTGCTTCATAATTTGTTTTTTTAAATACAATGATAGAAACACACACAAAATATGCAAGACAAAGTGACCGTTATCAATGCCATTTTATTGTTACCATTTAGTATTCCAGTGCATCTTTAAGGACAAGATGTCTTTGAAATAAATGATGACCTTATATAATACTTTTCATTTTTGTGTTAATGTTTCTGATTCCCTGTCCTGCTCTTTGAAAGTACATTGGTTTTGTTACCTACCATGCTAACTTTATCCTTTTTTGGATTATTGATGTTCCGGTAATCAATGGCAATTACCACTTTAACTGCAGGAATTCGGACAAACTAACATCAAGTAAACTACATATGTACTTCCACTAAAGTTTTAATTAATTTTGTAATAACAACAGCACGTTGAGGTTTAAATAACTCTACAAGAAAACAAACAAATAAAAGAAATAAAGGAGATGGTATGCACCTTTAAGTGTAACATTCGATTTTTGAAACGATAAATTAAATTATTTTACTTTAAGTTTCGTGTAAACATGTGTTATTTTCATCTTAAAACCATTCTCTGGGGATTCAATTTAACCCCTGAGCTGTTAATTTATGCATTTTTTAAATTATAGATAATCCAGCAGAAATGCACCTTTAATGGTGCGTACCTTCAAAACTGCAGAGATTTGGACATGCAAACATGCAAATTCGGATTTTCCACCCTAGAAACTATAATAATCAACAAAGTTTGCTTACTTCTCAGTGATATACCACAAAAACGTTTTTCTGAGGCACTTTCAGGGATACGTGCAACGGCCTATTTTTATTCTGGAAATATGCATTTATTACAGACAAGGCTTAAATGTTCAGAACTTGGTATTACATTGAATGTGTGTATTTTTTCCCCGACAGTTGCTCCGGAGGTAGCATTCCTGAAATACATGGACGGACTCATCACTTGTGAAGCCGATGGCAATCCACTCAGACACATTGAGTATAACATCATTCTAAATGGCACCAAGCCTAGCGCGCCTACTGGTAAAACCATGCCATTTAATGTCGAGGAAAATTACTGCACAGAGGTCAGCTGTAATGTGACCAATGTGATTGGAACTGCGTCACGGCAACTTGAAGAACCGCTTTGCCCAGGTGAGTTTTCGTCGATTGTATTTAAAGAAATCAAATGATGTAATTTTGTTGTATCCTTTAATTGAAAACAGTAACAATTTATTTCTTCTGAGCATCCGTATGTGGCTGTGATATTCTATTTCCACACTTCTTTCACATTAATTCATTTGTCTGGGCTCTAACAGCTGAGTTGATTTTTTCCATAAAACCTCGCCACTGTCATTCTACGTCAGAATGTTTCTATAAGTAAAACAAAATATGAGTCTGAGATTGGAATTTTCTTTCGAAATTCATTACTTGATCACAATTCTCTCTATACAACTTCTCGGTTTACATTTCAAAGTTGTTTGTCGCGCATTGCTTTGGACGACAGAAGGTGTAAGAAATGTTAAGATCAAATGATATTAACTTTCCAAATTTGCCCGTTCATGCAGCTTCTGCCACCTCTCTCACCATAGCTGTTGATGGTGAAGACCAATCCTCTGGTAAAATAGTGACCGTGACAGAGGATACTGACGTCACACTTTCCTGCACAGCACTGGGAGCAATACCACAGGTGTCCATAGACTGGTTTAAAGGCGGAAATCCTCTTACACCTGACACCGAAACAATTCCACCTGGTGGTGAGGCAACAGATACACGGAGTACATACAGCCCATTCATCCCAACACGAAATGATGATAGGAGCAGGATAGAATGTCGCACAGGTGGACATCAAACTACACAGTCTGAATTCATTACCCTCAATGTTCTATGTAAGTTACTTCTATTTATATTGTAATTGCTCTATTTCTGGAATAGCGTTCTGAAAAGTTGATTAATTTGTATATGCATACAAATTGTATGAAAGCACATCTTAACGTTTGGAAAACTAATATCACCTACACATAGACGTTTGAATTAGAACTAATGAAAATCAATTAAAATTAATGTAGTGTATGATTCTGAAGATCTGAACAAAAAGCAAATATTGTTTACACTGACTTGTCTACAGTTTTGTGATCACGTATGCCGGAAAAAAAAGAAAACAGACGCCCTACTTATAGTCTATTTCTCTGAATCTACTTCAGACGAAAAAGAGCAATTTACTAACGTCAGGGAGTTGTCAGGTCATCTGCTTTGTACCCGTTCACGTATATGTAACTGATTGCAAACAAAATGTGCACTAACTAAGTTTGGTGGTTTAGGGACGATATTTAAAAAAACAAAGTCATTTTTCGTCGGTGGTAGGCCAACAATCATTGGAAATTGATACACACAATTCCATTTTCTTGAAAATGACATCATACCAGGTGCCATGATTTTACAGGATGCTTGATATTATTATTCCCTTACGGTCTAGAAAGTATTTGATAATAATTTGGAAGATGTTTTATGTTTGCATATGTTGTACATTACCTTTAACCCAATTGTACGTATACAAATCCAAAATGTTAGACAGCATGTCGTTTCAATCGCAGTAGTATCTTGCTCAAAGGCTTTGGAGAAATATGTTACTGAGATCAAGACTGCAGGCTCTCTTTTTTGATCAGTGTGAAAATAATAATTTGCGGTGACATAGAAGGCTTAAATGTTGAGAAGTTTTAATTAGGCTAATAATATGTATTTTTCTTTTTACAGTTTCTCCGCTGGTAACATCCCTGACATACAGGGACGGAATCATCACTTGTGACGCAGAAGGCAATCCACTCAGACACATTGAATATTACATCATTCTAAATGGCACCAAGCCTAACGTGCCTACTGGTAAAACCCTGGGATTTAATGTCGATGACAATTACTGCACGGATGTCAGCTGTAATGTCACAAATGCGATTGGAACTGGGTCACGGAAACTTGAAGAACCGCTTTGCCCAGGTGAGTTTTCGTCGATTGTAATTAAAGAAATCAAGTCATATAAATAGCTTTTAAATGTTAAGTTCTCTATTAGCAGGAAAAAAAAAATTGACTTAAAAAGCCCAATTTCCCAGAACCCAGATCGAATTAAGTTTGATATTATATACTAATTTGAACTATTTCCTTTTGTGTTCTTTTCAGAAAAATCCAATAAAGTTGTTGTGGTTATTCAGAAATACAAACTCTCCAAAGAAAACAGTCAGTGGACATTTATTTCATTCCAAGAACTTCAAGAAACTATTTATTTTTATTACAATCAAGATGACTGTTTGGGTGTTTTTCTTTTGAAAAGATTGATGCAGCCTGATCCATCAGCATCATTATCAGCCCATCTGTTTGTTTCCAAACAAAAGCTTGAAAAACTTTAATTAAAACATGTTTTTTTTAAGTCAAATCTCCACTCATCACACGTGGGCACTTTACACTATTATATCATGGTTTATTCAAGGGCAGAGTATGCCCGGCCTGGTCCTGAGGACACCCTAAATACCTTGGTCCCCCGATCCTGATGGGATTAAGAAAAAAAGAAACCTCGTATTTGCTTCAATACATAGAATATATTTTACTCGGATGTTTAATATTAACATTTCTTGTGGTCTGGTTGTCTGACCCTACTTCTTACGACTCAAAACACTTTATAGACGTGAGGAAATTGTCAGTTCAGGATACAAAACTAGCTGTTTTGAACCCGTTCGTTGATGTGTAACTGCTTATAAACAAATGTGGATTAACCAAATTTAGTGAATTTAGTGAATTTGGTCTGATATAAAAATCATTTTTCCAAAGATGGTCGGCCGACCGTCGTTGGAAATTGATACAAACAAAATCCGCTCTTCTTGAAAATAACAGCATTTCAGGTGCCATGATTACATTGTATGTAGACTATTTTTCACATACAGGCAAGAAAGGCATTTCATGATAATTTGGTAGATTTTGTTATGTTTACCAAATATACATTTCCTTCAACCGAAATGTGCATTTACTAATCCACAACGTTAAAGGCGGCCTGTCGTTTTAATCTAAGCAGTATCATTCTCAAAGATCTCCAAAAATATCAAGACATCATACCTCCTTTTATCCTGAAAATATGCATTTATTACAGACAAGGCTTAAATGTTCAGGACTTCATAAATTGAATGTGTGCAATTCCTTTTTTTCACAGTTGTTCCGGAGGTAACATCCCTGACATACAGGGACGGAATCATCACTTGTGACGCAGATGCCAATCCACTCAGACACATCGAATATTACATCATTCTAAATGGCACCAAGCCTAGCGCGCCTACGGGTAAAACCATGCCATTTAATGTCGAGGACAATTACTGCACAGAGGTCAGCTGTAATGTCACAAATGCGATTGGGACTGGGTCACGGCAACTTGAAAACCCGCTTTGCCCAGGTGAGTTTTCGTCGATTGTAATTAAAGAAATCAAATGATGTAATTTTGTTTCATATTTTATTTGAAAACAGTGACAATTTATTTCAAATTAGGTTTGCCCTTCACCGACGTATAAACACTGTATACTCAGTGTGTTACCTCCCGGGTGAAAGTTGGAAAAGACCACTCGGTTGGGACTCGAACCCACGACCTCCTGCTTTCTAGTGCAGATGTCTTACCACTCGACCACCGATTTGAGTTTGAGATTGAATTTTCTTTCGAAATTCATTACTTGATCACAATTTTCTCTATACATATTCTCGGTTTACATTTCAAAGGTGTTGGTCGCGTATTGCTTTGTACGACAGAAAGTGTAAGAAATGATGTTTAAATCAAATGATATTAACTGTTTATATGTTTCTGTTCATGCAGCTGCTGCCACCAGTCTCACCATAGCCGTTGATGGTGGAGACCAATCCTCTGGTGCAAAAGTGACTGTGACAGAGGATACTAACGTCACACTTACCTGCACAGCACTGGGTGCAATACCACGGGTGTCCATAGACTGGTTCAACGGCGGAAATCCTCTTACATCTGACACTGAAACGATCCCACCTGGTGGTGAGGCAACAGATACACGGAGTACATACAGCCCATTCATCCCAACACGAAATGATGATAGGAGCAGGATAGAATGTCGCACAGGTGGACATCAAACTACACAGTCTGAATTCATTACCCTCAATGTTTTGTGTAAGTAACTTATATTTATATTGTGATTGCTGTATAACCTGGAACAGCGTTCTGAAAAAGTTGATTAATTTGTATATGCATATACAAATTGTATGAAAGCACATCTTAACGTTTGGTAAACTAATAATTATGTAGCGCGACAGACCGCTGCCACCATTTAGCGAAATAACCCGAGTCCGTTTGGCCGAAATATACCGCCGACTTCCAATGTTGTAGCTCACAAATCAGTTGGGGGAAGGGAAAATTAAATAATAGGCAAGGACAAAGGAACTATTGAGTGGACACTGACAACTGGGTTACATGTGCCGTAATAAAAGATATACGATTTATTCAATACTCATCAGGCTGTAATTAAGGGGGTGTGCATATGCGAATTAATGTGCCTCTTATTTGCTATGTGGGAGCCTCCTGTGGGGGGCTTATTGCGCACCGCGCCTCCTATAACAAAGGGGTTGCAGCTGTTTGTAACGAGCGCCTCTAAATGCACCCGGCTCTCCTCTGTGGTCTGGCCACGACTGCTCATGCAGCCTCCAGTGAATCCTAGTTAGATCCAGTCAGCCTCCAGTAGCTCTGTGTGATCCCGGTCCCAGTGAAGGACCAGCGGTACCCAGATCGTGAGTCAGCCTCCCGATCCTGTCCCGATGGACATGCGTAGCCCAGATCCTGAGTAAGCCTCCTGTAGCCCCCCTCGCGCCGTGCACGACTGGAGTCCCGCTTCCGCAGTTCAGCTTACCAGCTATACTCACCAAGTCAACGCCGCGGACGTAGCAGCGAGTCCTACATTGCGGACGTGGAAGAACCGCGACTGTGCTGCGCGCCTAGCGCGCGGCGATAGCGCCCTCTTTTGACGCCTCTATACAGCACAGAGCTGATTTCGCTACAATACCTACACATAGACGTTTAAATCAGAGCGAATGAAAATCAATTAAATGTAGTGTGATTCTGAAGATCTTAACAAAAAGCAAATATTGTTTAAGACTGACTTGTCTAAAGTTTGTCCGGAAAAAAGAACCAGACGCTCTATTTATAGTCTATTTCTCTGACTCTACTTCAGACGAAAAAGACCATGTTACAGACGTTAGGGCGTTGTCAGGTCATCTGCTTTGTACCCGTTCATGAATGTGTTACTGATTGCAAACAAAATGTTGACTAACTTAATTTTGAATTATGGACAATATCTGAAAAACAAAGTCATTTTCCGTCGATGGTCTGCCAACCATCATTGGACATTAATACACACAATTTAATTTTTCTAAAAAAATTTCATCATACCGGGTGCCATGATTTTACAGGACGCTTTAGACTATTATTCATTTACGGTCTAGTAAATATTTCATAATAATTTTGAAGATTTTTGATTTTTGCATATGTTGACATTCAACCCAAATGTACGTATACAAATCCAGAATGTTACATGTCCTGTCGTTTCATCGCAGCAGTATTTTGCTCAAAGGCTTTCGAGAAATATGTTGCAGGGATCAAGACATCAGACTCTCTTTTTTCGATCAGTTTGAAAATAATTATTGCCGTTACAGAGATGGCTTAAATGTTGAGACGTAATTAAAATATGTTTCGTTTCTTTTTACAGTTGTTCCGGTGGTAATATCCCTGACATACATGGACGGAATCATCAATTGTGACGCAGATGCCAATCCACTCAGACACATTGAGTATTACATCATTCTAAATGGCACCAAGCCTAACGCGCCTACTGGTAAAACCCTGGCATTTAATGTCGATGACAATTATTGCACAGAGGTCAGCTGTAATGTCACAAATGCGATTGGAACTGGGTCACGGAAACTTGAAGAACCGCTTTGCCCAGGTGAGTTTTCGTCGATTGTATTTAAAGAAATCAAATGAAGTATTTTTGTATCTGTTAATTGCAAACAGTACAAAATTATTTCTTCTGAGCATCCGTATGTGGTTGTGATTTTGTATTTCCACATTTTTTTTCCACATTAATTAATTCGTCTAGGCTGTAATATCCAGGTCTATGAGACATTCATTTCGTTTTTTAACATTTATTTCCAATAAACCTCTCCAGAAATCTCTGGCATTGTCATTCTACGTCAAAATGTTTCCATAAGTAAAAAATAAAGAGTTTCAGATTGGAATCTTCTTTCTTTCTGAATTTCATTACTTGATCACAGTATTACTAAGGACGACTGGTGTAAGTGAAAGCTCAAGTACTAGGCCCACAAATTCCTCGAGGAGGAGTGGTAAGTTCTGCAGTATTACAACTGAAATAAACCAGATTCCTTAACTGAATTGCAAGTTCGATGTGGAATATACAGTTTGCAATGGCACAGCACCGTAATGGAAACCACAGCTTTGCGTTGTTAAAACTTTTCAGCAGATTTGCCTGCAAAAGTACAGTTGCACGCGTTTAACTTACTGTAATCAACGTTTAGTATAGTTACTAATTGACAGCCGTTGAGTGAGTCCACAAGATGTGCAAAATATAAAATAGGCGAAATGTTCTGATCTATGACGAAAACTGAGAAAAGTTCCTCTTGCTCTTGCAGGTTCTTCACTTGTAGGCATCATTGTTGGATCTGTAGTGGCAGCCATCGTCATTGTGGCCGTCGTTGGTGGTCTTGCTTTTGTCGTGTGGAGGCGTCGCCATAAACAACAACAGACAGAAACATGCGTAAACGATGGCCTGTAAGTGAAAAAAGGCTACATTCAGAAAGAGACTGATATTAAATGTAAAGCCAAAGATGTATTGTTTCTTTTAAAAGTGATATGCCTGCGTGACTTTCAAAGCAATCTGTTCCTTTTCCATACGTATGCCTGTTATCGCACCCTCTTGATTTGAATAAAAAATCAATAAGTTGTTGATAACAGGCATAAAATAACTTGTTGATAACAGGCATGTATTCCTGTTATCGCACCCTCTATATTTGAAGCATAAAACAATAACATTAACTTTTTAATTAGTATGACCCATTAGCACCCTTTCGACATAGCACCATTTATGTTTGTTCACTGGAAAATCTATGTAATTGCTCCGGCTGTTTCTGGTGCTACAGTGCGTAATCACTTTCAAGCGCTACAGTGACAAATGGATACCGACAACAATTGCTGTTTAAGTAATATAATTTCCCTTTCAGAAATGACATTGTATCACAAGGAGCAGACAGTGAGCTCCCACCACTGCCTGTCACTGATCAGTCGTCTCCTGGACTAGATCCCCATCATCCGAATGGTGAGAATCAAAGAGCGAGTCCAGTCAAAACAAAAGCAGAGGATAAACTGAATTGGAAAAAAGTGGTACAAAAACCTGTACCGGTATATTGTGCAATATGAAGATTGGTAAATCTAGAATTAGCAACTGCCTACACTCCTGGGCAAATTCTTCCCAATAGCTTGACAGTTTTTACCCAATTCAACCCAATATGAGGCAATTTCATACCAATGCTAGGTAAATTACATTGCCAAACAGTGATTTATTCAACCTTTTTATAGTGTTTACCTGTGCATTGGATTAGAAAATCGAATTATATTTGGTGTGGTCTGACTAGATGAGGATTACAAGTACTTGCAAGATGCATGTCTCAATATCAATTTTATAATCTAAAACTAACAAATGTGTTTCAGATATTCCTCTGGAACCAATTGCCTCAGCGGTGGTATGCGAAAGTATTTCCAATGAAGATGGCGTTGAGGCATCAAACGACGTGGCGTACGGCAACGTAGGACCGGAACTCTCTTTCTCGCGAGATCTCGTGGTGATCGAGAATGAGCTGGGTCGAGGGGAGTTCGGCAGAGTGCTATTGGGAAAGGCACTTGGAATCGAGGAAGCCGGAAAAGAAACAAAGGTTGCCGTCAAGACTGTGAAAGGTTTGTTGTCAAATGTTATTTATCAAATCGGGGCTCTGTGCAGTTGAGAGAATTTTATTTATACTCATTGTGAAGTGATTTGTCTTGAAGACAAAAACAGAGATGTAATAAAAAATAAGTCGATTTAACACATCTGATTCATTACAACATTAAATTGCCTTTCATTCACTGAAATGTGCACGGTGCATCTGTAATACTTTCCCTATGTGTAAGTATTATGCGTCCTTCCGAAAATCCGTCCTTTGAGACAAGTTTCCAATAGATTGCTCTGACTACATGTAGTTGTTAATGTGAGTAGCAGTGGTGTTGGTGGTATGGGTGGTGGTGCGGGTGGTGGTGGTGGTGGTAGTGGGGTGGTGGTCTGAATGGTCTGAATGCTATAATAGGGCGACAGATTTTGCTAACCGCGTCCACATTCAGGGCGACACACCTTATTAAGGCGACATATAACTGTCGCATTTTTGTGAAAACGACCCTTAGGACATGCCGCCACCATCTTGATCGATTCGTCGTTGTCCGAAGAGTAAAAATGCCGAATTTTGTGAGAAAGGATAAGGTAAACTTTGGTAAGGTGACATTAGTTTTAGGTTTGTGCACAAGTCTATGGGAAAGTCGCCCTATTATATCATACAGGATAATTATTATTACATGTAGTAGTTATTATATTTTTTATTATAAAATATTATTATTATTCTACGCTACATGCTGTCTATAGCTTTTTAAACACTGATTCGGAGGGACAAGCGCACCAAAAGTCGATCTTTACAATAATATAACCGACAATGGGGTTATCGGAGAAGTGTCTTTTCTTCTTGTACAAACTGCTAATCCATGGTATAAGCCTCCTTACTTCGTTAGTATGTGTAGACATTGTCTTTCCACTGGATCTTCCAAACCTTAGATTGTCTTTGGCTTTGGTCCCTTGGTCCCTGTCATGTGTAAATCGACCCAAGATAGTTCCCTACTCTCTCAGAAAGATACAATCCTGTGACATGAGGCCAAGGCTTCTAATGGTTCTATTTGAGGCAAATTGGCTTTCATATAATTCTGGGGTCTGCGATCATAAGGCTGAGGTCGGAAACCTTATATTTTTTACTAACCGCCTCATCAATTTACAGAGGGCGCCGACAGACACGCCAAGAATGAGCTTGTGGCCGAGTTGCAGGTGATGAAAACAGTCGGCTCTCATCCAAACGTGGTCAAGCTGCTGGGATATTGTGCAGAAAAAGGTATATCACAGTTTGAATGAGAAATCACTCTTACCGAAGTCCGTTTCCGCGCGACTAAAGCTCGACACAAGACGAAAAGACAGTTAAGATGAAACTCATCATTTCGAGAAAACCATTGAAGGCTTATAGTTCCTATTCCAGTTTTCATTGTAATGTTCCCTTTTCAAAGTATTGAAGTGGTTCTCACTAAACAGTTCTGACCTTAGTTTCACGCTCTAGAAGAGCATAAGATTACAGGTAGGTACAAACAATAAGTGTGGCTGACGAGCTGTTTCTGTGATTTATTCTAGATCCGGTGTACGTTATCGTTGAGTACCTTGCTAAGGGTGACCTGAAGGAAGTTCTGATGGAGTTTCGAGAGAAAGACCCAGGGGCAAGCTACTCCAACCTACCCGGCGTGAGCAAATCACTGGCTAGGACATTGGTCAAGTTTGCCAGGGATGTGGCAAATGGAATGGCTTACATATCCTCTCAAAAGGTAATTGATACACGTGCTCATTGTAATATCGATTTTAGAAACACAGTAGTGTGATCGAGTAACCCACGCCCAATGCGCAGTTGAACGAAATCCAATGGTGGGCTATCAGTGTACAGGTTCAAGCGCCCCTGTGCTTGTCTCTTCGCGTCCCGTTACAGGGAGTGCACTACTCTAAAACCTAATACTGGGCAAATCTGGTAAAGCTGGTCTCAGACTACTCTGTCAGTGACATGGGAAACCTAAGTCACAGTTGATCAATTTTATTTTCTCAGTATGTGCATCGTGACCTTGCCGCTCGTAACGTGTTGGTGGGGGATGACCTGGTGTGTAAAGTGTCTGACTTTGGACTGGCCCGTGACGTCATGAACACCCGTATCTACCAACGAGAATCACAGGTACCACACGAACTCAATGATTTGTATATAGCTCCGTCCAAACAAGACATCGTCAATGTCCAATATGCCATATCACCTATTTAGCTTATTAATAATATCAACCTAGCTCTTGAAAACTGACAACAGTCACAAAAATATGTCATTTTTTGCAGGGTCCTCTTCCCATGCGCTGGATGGCGTTGGAATCCATTCGTGATGACGTGTACACAACAAAGAGTGACGTATGGTCTTTCGGGATTCTGCTGTGGGAGATTGTGACACTTGGTGAGTTAAAAGACATCGATTCTACAGTTGGCCGTAGGTGGACTTTGAATGAATGTTTAAAATAGATAAGGGAGGTATCTCTAAAAGGTTTGAGCTTGAACGGGTAACAATATGAGCTCCATGATTGAAGGTGTTTACACACGTGTTTGTGGAACGATTTCATTTGTCACAATATAGATTTCAGATCATGTAGGCTGAATTAGTATACCGTGTTGAGTCTCTACAGTCCAATGTTTAAATGCACATCTCTATCCGACAGGTGCGCGGCCGTATCCGCTGTTGAGAGCAACGACAATGATAAGCAAATTACAGCAGGGCTATCGTATGCCGAAGCCTCGACAATGCAAGAAAACGCTGTAAGTATTGTCAGTTTATGCGGAACGCTCGGAAGAATTCATGTTTTATGTAATTTGCCCTTGAAGATATGAATTAGAGAGTCGACATTGAGAATGAAATAGATTGTCTTTTTTCTTAATCGATTGTCACATGTTTCAGGTACAAAATGATGTGCAGCTGTTGGCAGGAGAGTCCCAAGGATCGACCCAGCTTTCAGAGTCTGTATCGGCAGTTAAACGACATGGTGTCTGAAGATCAGGTTAGTGAAACACAATCTCTAAGACTGGATGTTTCTCTCAGTTACCACGAGACTTTGCTCGATATAACACTGCTAAAGCGGAGGGCCTGCAACTTTAACGTTAGAAACAAAAATGTACTGCCCCGACCCAGCGGAGGCACATAAGGTCGGCGTGTTTCTCCTCTTAGAGTTGCATAAAATGACAGTGACTATACATATAAACAATACATGTTTAGCCTGAATGAGATCAAATTCTGCTCTGTAGGTTTTACTCCTGAGCTCATAATAGTAGTCATTTATACTCGTGAGTGAAGACAGGCAAGTGGAGTGAAGTGACTTGCCCAAGAAAACATAAGACAGCTACTGGAACGAAAATTCTAACCCTTTGGTCATGAGAAGAGATGTAAAAATCCACAAAGCAGGACACCAAACATATATTCATGCTGCATTGGATCTTGGACAGATTTTAAGACACTTGATTTCTTTTTAGTAAACAAGTACAACAGTTTAGCCTGTTCCAGAAACGAAATATTTAACTGTTACTGAGCCTACGTTTTGGGCAACGGGACCAAATTGTACACTTTGTGACTAAAGCATGGAGCTTCGCAGGTTAGGTCTTTATGCCGTGAAGAACATTTGTTTTAGATGTAGCAGCATTCCGTATCTGACCTCTGGTGACCTTTGGAGGGTCAATGAACTTTACATACTGGATTAATAGTTCTTGAACAGGCCACTTTCCTATGATCCAAGTGTAGGTCATATATCTTTATGCCATGACGAATATTTTCAGATGTGGGAACATTTCATACCTCACCTACGGTGACCTCCATTAGGTCAATGAGGTCAATGACATGTGTACAAGGATTTTTTTCTATTTATAATTATTTATACGATTTTATAAGTAAATGTTTGGGTGTGAATTCATAAATGACTGTAGAATAATGGTTGCAATACATATATTTTGCACCATTGATACTTGGGCCATGAAACGTGGGTTTAAAGAATAAATATGATAAATAGCGACAGATACGGGATATAAAGTTCTTTGACCTCTCGAATGTTACCAGAGGTTAGACGTAAAATGTCCCCACATCTGCATATCGTTACCTGACACGAATTAAGAACCAACCTTTAGACTCGGGTTATGAAATAAATGGCGTTTTGAATGTTAAATCTTATAAATATCTATAACTGGTTGTATAAAAATGTCATGACCTCTCGAAGGTCACCAGAGGTCGGATATAAAATGTCCTACATATACAAATTCTTCTCAGAGCATGATGGGCACCTTGCTATTGCTATTAACATGTAAATGCAACACATGAAATGTATGTTTCTTCCAATATTTAACAGGATTACATCACTATGGGCAACCTGGATAAAAGGATCTACGAAGTACAAATCGTGGAAGACACGAAAGAGAAACTGTGAGCGTTGACAAATGGTCTTGCGGGAAAAAACTCATTGAAATGTTTGATCAATTACCAAAAACATGAAATTTTACAGGGCACAGAATACACCACTTGTATACCCAAGCGATTAAAAAAGCTCTATGGTCAGAGACAATTAGAAAAATATAGAAATTAAAGATATATCTTGTCCTGTTTTACCATGCATATGGCATACATGCATGGAGTTGATTAAATACAGTTAAATTGTCAAATATTGTGTGTTGCTTCACAACAAAGTAAGCGCAAGACCGAGTCGAAAGCATACATTTGCCAATATATATAATTTAATAATAAAAAGCCCGGTGGTGTTGAGACTTTCCAGTACCAATACTATGCATACATGATATCAAAACAAACATCATTGTGCAATTCTTTTTTCCTTTTTTTTATATTTTGAATGAAAACGAAACTATAGTTGTAGGACAGTCTGAGCGGCTACACAACTGTAAAACCGACAACAGGAGACTCCATCTTATAACATTTCTCGTTTAGCTAGGGTAAATAAAATTAGGTATCAGACGAATAGGAGGTGGCAGGAAGTTAAACTACGAGATACTGAATTGATAACAATTGCTTAAATTGATGTTAATCGTGTCTTTAGATTAAACACCAATACTATAGTACTCACATACGCACTGAATTAAGTCATTACATGCTGTTAAGATATTTCAATTTTTGTAATACGATATATAGTTTACGCAGATGTGTGTTGTGAAGTAGTTATGTTATTAATTCAAACGGGTAGACTGGTAGTTTTTGTGATGATGGGGTACTTTTTTGATTAAATGAAGGTAGTTTTTGATTAAATGAAGGTAGTTCTTTATGAAATGCCCGCCCCATACCCCTCCGCGAAAAAATAATTAGGAAAACACTACCTGTTGTTTGCATAAACAGAATAGGCCAAATTCCTCATCTCATACAATGAATAGCAATGAATTGTTTTAGTTGTCTGACTGATGTACTGCAGCACTGGTGTTTTTAACGACTGGTTCTGTAATTAATGTTTGCATATAGGAATATCGTCGCATTTCTCAAGAAGTGCAAAAAACTTTTTAAAATAACCGATAATTTTTCGATTTTGAGTTCTTCTCGCCTTTTTATATTTATACAATTTAACCAATTGTTGAAGCGAAATGTTATTTGCTTTCTTAATTATCGAAATTGGACATTTGACAAAAATGTTCCACTCCATTTTCGTGCTAACGAAGCGCCAAAGAGTTTGTCTCCTCTTAGTGAGAACGTAAACTGTGTGTTATGCGCTTCCAATATTCACACAATGTGACCACAAATCACCTAGGTAGACGGATTTCAATTTAACATTGAAACCCATCTCACAGCGCTAATCCATTGTACCAATTGAGAACCAAAGGTGAGCACTGGGCCCTCGGTATCAATGCCAATTTTAAATTCGTCTAAAGAAGGGCCAGGGATGATACATGGCAACATATAACACTATGTGTATGTATATGTTATGTAGAGGTTGACGACTTTAATTAAATTTAACTTGAAGAAAAGGAAACAGGCAGTGTTAATATACTTATAAATGTGTAATCACTTTTTCCTAATTTGTAGTGATAAGTACTGAATTATCATAAACAGTCTATACATGTTTAATCATAGAAACTGATAATCAAGATTCCAATTTCGTGTTTTAATTAAAAACATATACTCGAAATGCATGCTAAAATTATTTAGTAATTACTTTCAACAAATATATATATTAACTCTAGTGTTAGTAATTCTCTTAAATATTAATATATATGTGTGTGTGAGATCATCGCTTTGTCCAAAACCATGACATTCTTTAACGCTGGGTTTTGTTTTTGAGATGTTGATGAATTTGTAAGCTAAGGAGGACATAGTGAGTAAACAGCCCCCCCCCCAAAAAAAAAAATGTAGAAAAAAAGATCAGCAGACAGAAATGGGAATTATATATACCCCTCCTTAAAAACTTGTCATATTTACTTAATTTGTAGTGATTAGCGTACAGTTATCAATAAGGGTCTAAAAGTCTTTTTAATTATTGAAAATGATAGTCAAGATGTTAATTTAGTCATTTAATTAAACCGAATACTCAGGATGCATGTTCAAATTAACAAATATTTTACTCTAAGCATGATTCTTAATAGTTATTAGTAGACCCATATACAAATATGTTCGTGTATGGAGTTCATTGCATGGCCCATTCGCCAGTAATTACTAAGCAAATTATATATGAAATGTAGAGTTATTACTGTTTGCATATAATGCACTGTATGCCCCTGCCCTGGAGCAAATTTACAGTTATTAATCTTTGCAAATATTCATATGTTTGTTTGCAAAATTCATTACATTGCCCAATTCGCCTAAAACCATGACAACCTATTACACACTGGTGTTTTTGAGAGACGTTGATGAATTTGTGAGCTTAAACAGGCATCCTGAGCAGACAAACATATAAACCCCCCTAAAAAATTATAGTAATTGGAAGGAAAAAATGTTAAGCAGACAGAATGAGGAAATGTGAATATGCATGTACTTATGAACTTTTAATAACCTTTTCTTAACCTGTAGTGAGGTGTATTGAGTTATCATTTACTGTCAATAAGTATCTTTAATCATAGCAAATACATATCAAATGTATAGTTAATAATGTTCGCATATAATTAACGTTTTGTATATGACATTTACAGCATGCTTAATCCCAGGAGCCAATCTAGAGTTTCTAATGTTTGAAAATATTAATGTTTGTTTATGAATTCCATCGCATGGCCCCTTTCGCCTGAACTCATGACAACCAATTGCACAAGGAATCTTATAAACGTGTAATCAGCTTCTTATAAACGTGTAATCAGCTTCTTATAACCGTGTAATCTTATAAACGTGTAATCAGCTTCTTATAAACGTGTAATCAGCTTTTTGTAATCTGTGAGCCTACTGATTAGTATTGACAAGTTGCTTTCGAGTCAACTCGTACCTTGGGCGACTCGTACCTTGGACAACTCGTACCTTGGACAACTCGTACCTTGGACATCTCGTACCTTGGATAACTCGTACCTTCAATTAAGACGACTCGTACCATCAGAATAAAAAGTAGAGTACTGTACGTGCGCGACTTAGTGTGTGGGTTCCTTGACTCCGAAACGATACGATTCTTTTCAAGTCAAAGTTAATTTCCTTCTCACAGAACCACATTCAAGATCTAATGGCTTTGCCAGGCAGCATTATTTTACGCATAGGGCCTGGCGGGCCGGCCTCGGAGGGCGCGAGCAGCGGTCGGTCGTGCGCGGTACCGATGCCGGTGACTGCATCAATGTCACCGTGCACAGACGTCCATATTGACCGGTCAGCGCGGCGCAAGAACCGTGTCACTTTGCACGGATGCCGCGTGGGCCTGTGCATGCCGCGCACACAGTGCGTGTAAGCTGCCGCGGCCGGCTTCGCGCTAAATAAATTCTTCTTTTTTGGGGAAAGAGAGCCCATACCAAAAAGAGATTCACCTTTATTTTAATAAGCAGTCCACTTCCAATGAGTTAAGGCCCACTTTATTTAGCCTCGGATCATTATCCAGATTGACGGTACGACTTGTCTTACGCGTGATGGTACGAGTCGTCTTAACTGAAGGTACGACTTGCCGAAGGTACGAGTTGTCCAAGGTACGACTCGGTATAATGACGTCGAGTTGAAGGTACGAGTTGTCCAAGGTACGACTCGGTATAATGACGTCGAGTTGAAGGTACGAGTTGTCCAAGGTACGAGTTGCCCAAGGTACGAGATGACCTGTTACCGACAAGTTCAGTATTTACAAGTTCTTAATCGTAGATCTTGATAGTCAAGACAACAACTTGATCATTTGATTAAAAAGCTTAAACTCGGAATGCATGCTAAAATCTCTGATCAACCTTAGCATAATATATAATATATAGAGTTAAGTGTACACATGTAAGAATATGTTTGCGTATAAAATTAACTGCATGGCCAGAAAATTGGCAACGGATAACACTGTAGTTTATTAAGAACTTGATTAATTTTCGAGCCACTTAGAACATAATGTACAGATACAGTGTGTGCTGAAATTACCTATTAATTGCTTTGAGCATACAGTCAATGTTATATTCATCTTGAAGAACTCAGCTTCCTCAGTTGCTTTGTATAACAGTTTGGCGAGGGGGAAGTATTTTCAAATTTGGTCATGGGGTTATGGGAAGGGTTTTGTGTGTGCACAAATCTATTGACATGTCACCCTAAAGTACTAGTTACTAAAGTTCGCATATAATAATATGTCTGAGTGTGAAATCCACTGCATCAAAACCTTCGCCAAAACCATATAGCACTATTCTGTGTAACATTATATAACACTTTTTTAAGAGGTTGATGAATTCTTATCTTGCGATTTTGAATAAATCATTGTAGATGAATAAACAGAGCGCCTTTTTTTAAACAAGATCAGACTAGAGTCATGCTCAACAGAGTCTTCTTTCCCTGCTGATTTTGTCCAGCCCGTTCCCTTGGCTGTAGTTTCGCTAGATAGTAGATAGGGGCAGTGGGAATCTCGTTAATCCATTCATGCACGTCACCAATTAGATGACGAGGCATTTGGCTATTTAAATCACGAAGGTGATATAAAGCTTCGTGCAAAAAGAATGCTAAGCTCAACCGCACTAGACGGTTGTGCTAAAATGACGGGGTCCCTCCACGAGTAGCAGGACCAAGCAAGACCATACCGTCAGTCCGCAAAATGCAGCCAAAACTGGCAGACCTAAGTTCGCAGGCATGCAACATCTTTCGCATTCTTTGCCCGCGAAGGAAGCACCGTCCCCCCACCCTAGTTCTTTATAAAGTTATTAGATATGAAGTTGGAGCCTTTGATGACATTCTGGGCTAGAACACCCATTTGATGTGAAGTGAGATTAACTGCGGTCTTACTCGGCTTAGCTATTACCACATGAATAAACGTCAATAGTGTTTTGGGTCTCTAGTGAACAAAGAACAAACACATTT